TCAATCCAAAAATTAGGCCATACCTTGTGGATGTCACAGAGTCATGACAATTTTGTACCTGCTTATTGGGTCCCAACCAGAGGCATAGCTCAGCCCCAGCATACCCCACCAGTTCTCTCTGTGCCAGGGATGTCTGACTGATGTCACCGTGGCACCGGGCTCTGCCCAACTCCAAGATGTCCTCCACCAGTCCTCTCTGTGCCAGGGGCAACTATCTGACACTGCTGCCAGGCCTAGCTCTGCCCAATTCCAAGATGTCCTCCAGCCAGCATCAGCATCTGTGGGACCCAATCCCTAGCACTCACCAAGAATCAATGCAGTTCTTCCTCTTCCTCTTGGGTCCACTGTACACTGTGCTGTGTGTCTTCACTGTGCTTCCAGCACAGTACAGATTGGTCAGAAAACTGACTGGTGCCCGGCTTCGGAGCCCAGGTGTATGGTCCTCTCGTAGTCTCCTCCGGTGTGGCCAGGTGGCTCCATGTCCCAATTTCTAGCACTCACCAAGAGCCAATATAGCTCTTCCCCTTGGATCCACTGCTCACTGCACCTTGTCCTCCCATTAAGGGCCTGGGATTCGCAAACTCCCATTATCGGCAGCTGCGGTCTCAGCCTGACTTTGGATCCTCCGGGAACACCTAGCACAGTGCGGAACGGGTCTCAGTGAGCATGTTGGGTTTCAGTTCTTCACCTACACTTTTCCTTCCTCTTCCTAGTTTTATTTTTTCCTTCGGTTTCCACCTTGGTTAATAAGCATCTTTATCCATTCATGTGGCCCTCTCCATGTTGTCATATTTTAGCATCTGATATGATTTCTCTGCAGAGACTCTCCATCTAGCTCCCTAGCAAGCCGCCATTTTTTCTTCTCTCCTCAGGAGCTCATGTTTTTAAAAAGAAAAAAAAAATCTGTTTGTGGTTGCTCTTTCTGTGCCTTGGGCACTACACATTGGCATCATATTCTATTCTACAGTTTAGAACCATTAATTTCATTTGTGTTGATCCTCAAATTCTTCCAGAGTTGACCAGTAGAAAAATATGTGATAGTTAGATGGATGGGTAGATAGATAGCTAGATAGACCAGTTGGACTGTCAATCAATAGATAGACAGTTTGGTCTCAATTAGGAGACATTTCGCCAACATGGGAGGTTTTGCAGTGGTCTTGAGATATTTTTGGTTTTCACAACTCAGGGGCTGAGGCAGTGTGATGGAAAAGACCTTCTGTCATATAGCATTTTGAGGCCATTGATGCTACTAAACAAACTACAATATATGAGGATGCTATGTTCTTAAACGTCAGTCAAGCTAAGTGGAGAAACTCTATAGTAAACAGGTAGGAAAATGATAAAGTAAACATTTAAAAAATTGGCATCAGAGCAAAGGGTATATGGGAATTTTTGGACTGTCTTTGCAACTTTTCTACAAGTCTAAAATTGTTTCAAAATGTGAAAATGTTTTAAATAGGTACATTTGGCGGTTTAAGTCTTTATACCACCACTTGCAGTTTAGAGATAGAAAATGACTTGCCCCTCACTGGGGATATCAATTCATCTCAGTCACTGTCCATGGCCTTTGGATCCATGGTCCACAGGGACAGGAAGGGACGCTGACGGGTCAAAGTGCCCTCTCACCTGTAAAACCATGTGCTTGCTCCACTGCGTGAGTGCCTCCTGACAAAGCTGTGCTTAGCCACAGAACTGATGTTCCACTAAACCACTCTTGGGAACCTGGGCTTCAAAGTCCCTGCTGAAGAACCCATTCCTCTTCACCCAGGCTTTCCTTAGGAGCTTTGTCCCCTGGCTGCATTAGAATTTCATATTCTGTTTCCTCAACAATATTGTGAGCTCCTCTGGGTTAACAGCTCAGCCTTTTCCCTTATGTATGTGTAACTTGGTGACTAAGAAGAAATCAGGCTCTGGAGACGTAACTGTCTCTTTCATCTCTTGCTAGTTAGGCAATCTTGGTCATGTTATGGAAGCTGTTTATGCCTTAATTTTCTTAACTGTTAAATGGGGGAAAAATAACATTATCTCACAGACTTGAAATGATTTACTATATGTGTTAACATAACAGTAACACATGTTGAGAACTTAATGTTAATATTCTTCAATCATTCATTTATTCAGTAGTATGAAGACTGTTTCTGCTCTCCCCATACCCTGTACAGTGTCCCCTAACCTTTGAATTAGGCGGATACAAATGATGCTGGAGTCATCCACATGCTTCCTACTGCCCTGTCCCTGAATCTTACTGTTTCTACTGTATCAATTCAACTTCAACATTTTCTGAGATTTCACAATCTGTGGCAGGCTCTGTGATCAGGAATGTTTAATATTCTATGTCTGTTCCACTCTCATCATATTCCATCCTACCCAACTCTCTTCTTGCATTCATTTGGTATTTCCAGTGAGCCATACATGAAATTAAAGGTTTTGTAAATTTTTGTTTCTATTTGCTTCTCTTAAGTGCCCTGTATGGAGTAAAGAATATGATTTTCCTTATTTTGAAATTGAGGAAACTCAGTTTTGGGGATTAATTGATATGGTGGAGGCCACAGAATACTGTAGTATGCTTTCGCCTCTACTTTCCCAGGAATTATACACTGGGACGGTGGAGAACTCCACCATCTATCTGGAGATAGGTTGCTGCCCAAAGACTGGATGCCACTCTTCTTTTTCACTTCCTTGCAAACTGCAGAAGCTAAAAGAGATATGCAGTTATACATTCAGCATTTTTTATGAACCTATACTAGGTTCAGGGACATAAAAAACAGAAAAAGCTTGATACATAGCTTTAGTTTGTTTAGTGTCAGTTTACCTTTCTCTGTGTAAAAATCGCCCCCAAAAATAGTGAATTAAGACAGTGATTTGTTTTTTCTATGATTCTGTGGGTTGTCTTTTGCTCCATGTGATATTGTTTAAAGTCCTTCCTATGATTACTTTCAACTGGGAGCTTAGCTTGGGGGCCCAAGATGGCCTTACTGTTGCATGGTGATTATACCAGGAGATGATCAACATAAGGAATCTGGCCTTCACATCTTACAGCTGGGCAGCTATTGATGGCCCAGACTCCTGTTTTCCTCCCGGATTTCTCATGCTTCAGGACCTCATCTGGTCTCTCCACTAGATTAGCCTGGACTTCTTTCCATGGTTGTAGGCTACCAAGGGAGTGAAAATGGAAACTGTGTGGTTTCTCAAAGCCTGCTTGGAGAAGTCACACAGCATCGCTTCTGCCACATTTTTATGGATCAAAACAAGTTTTCCAGTCAGTTCAGGAGACAGAGAAAGAGACTCTACATTTTTTTAATGAAGAATGGCTAGGCAATCATGCATGGGAGACACTGTTAACCACACTTGGAAGCAATTCCATCACTCTACTTGTCCATTTACCTCTTTAGCCAAGATAGCAGGATTTTAGAACTAGAGGACTCCTTAACTATCATCTGAGTCAGCTCCTGCTGTGTTCTGCATGTTTCTCATGTAATCTACTGTAACCACACTGTGGTAGCATAAGGTTCTGAAACCTTCTGGGACAGGTCAGCCTTCAGGAACAGATTATTATCTTTATAAAACAGCCCAAGTGAAACTCTGTCCTACCATGTAAGGACACAAGGAAGTATCATCCATAAACAAGGAAACTGGTGCTAAGCAAGTCTGCTGGTGCCTTGATCTTGGACTTCTCCACCTCTAGAATTATGAGGAATATGTTCCTGTTTTCTCTAAGCCACTCAGTCTATAACATTTTGTTAGAACAGTGCAGATGGACGAGGACAACACTCTAGTTTTGACAAATGCAAAAATTAAGATCTAGAAAGTCATGCTGCTGGCACAGGCTATGAAAATGGAGAAGCTGGACTTAGAGCCTGGACTCCTCTGGCAGGTGTCCTCACCTGCATTTGCACTATTGCTTCTTGCAGAGGACATCTCTCTGCTGAGCTCCTCTCTGATCCAGACTTAGAAGTCTGCAGAACACAAGTGCACAGATGAAGGAAAGGCTGTGTTTTTGCTGCCACCTGTTTCTCTGCCTGGTACCTACCTGCCTCTCTATTCCGAGGGTAGGCACCAAGGTTTAGTGGCTCAACCTCACTGACCAGCATTAACAGGCACACAATCTACCTTCTTTGCTTTTCCTATATGTTCTCGGTTTGAAATGATGCTGAGTTTTACCACTCACATAAAAAGTAACTTCCCAGGCACTGCCAGATGTTATAAAGTAAAAACCAACACATTTATGTACATTAATATAGTCTATTACACTATTGTACATTTTTCTAAAAGCAACAGAAATCACTGTGAAATCTATTGCTTGATTTGAAATGAACCATGGTTTCACTTTCCTAGATTATTAGGATATATTTTAGATTACTTCCAGCCTCCTAATTGGAGAATGGATATTTACTTTGCATTGAAGATGATACATTGTTATTAATACAGTTCTGAGTCCCTCAGCTCTCACAGAGGATGTCTGACTCTTATGAAGGGATAAGGTAGATGAAAGAAGTGTAGTTCTTAAATTTATGACTCCTTTAAAGACATTCATTTCCAAAGAAGAGGTGGAAGGCATGCTTTCCAAAAAACAATCTTCACCTGATTCCTGATTGATGTATGTGGTAAATTATTGATGGAATAAAACCTCTTTCTGGCTCTAATAGTATTTAAAATTTTTACAAATTTTCCATAACCAATTTGTTTACTGTGGAAAATTTAGAAAAGACGCACACAAAAGAGAACATACAGATCCCTCATAATCTCACTTTTTGGTCAAAACTACTGTTGAAAATTGTAACTTTTATTATGTTCTTAACAGTAAGACAGTGATAGTTATTGATATGGAGAGAGAAAAATGGAAGAGACCATTATTCTTTTAAAACATAAAATAATTTTGAAAATATCATATTTTTGTGGGGTTTTTGGTTTTGCCTAAGTATAGCATAGCAAGACTGTGTTTCTGTGTCTTTAAATATTCTTCTACGATACAGAGAAAGTAAATGTTTCTCTTTTGACAGGACAGTGATATTGAAGCTTTGGCTGGGTGTTTGGAAAGTGTCCTGGGTTGTACCTCTCTCGGTAAGTTTCTTCAGGTTCTAAAGTGCAGTGATGCGTATTGATTTTACTGTAATATCTGTAAATTTTACCATATTACTGGAAGAAATTTGGGAAGAATCTTATAGATATTTGGCCCAATCTCTTCATTTTATGGGTGAGGAAACATGGCCAATAGAGATTCAGTGTCTGGTTCTTGGGCCAGGAAAGTCAAAGCATTTTGTTTATTATTCTTATTTTTATTGTTGTTGTTGTTATTATTGTTATTATTATTGACTTTCAGTCTCCAAAGGGGAATCATTGAAATTTGGTCGTTCTTGTGACTCAGTGGTGGCCTGGCAGTGCATGGTATTAGGTTTACTGTCCCTGGAGAGGGATCTCTTCTATCTACCTGGTTCTGTAGAAGCAGATTGCATTCAGTCAAGCTGAAAGGAGCATCACTCTGAAGGTCAGTCAGTCACTGGAAGAGATTTGGTCTGAAAAACAAAGCTGATTTTTAAAAAACGCTTTCAGTCTCTGTAAATGAAATTGCTGTGCTTCAAGGATAAAACCCTATTTCTTAGATTCTTCTTTTTCTTAAGTCTGAAAATTTGTGATAACTTCTAGCACTAGAAACTAAATTTTCACAGTTCTTAAAGGTCCTAGGTGAAAAAAAGGCTGAGATTTTCTTCTTTTACATTTGATTTTGAGTCTTTTTTTTAGGAATTTTTAATTGTATAAGCAAAATCAATTTCTTCAAAGGAAATGGAATAAAGAGCAATCAATTTTTGTGGTTAGTTAGTGCAATTAGAAGCTTTATGCACAGTGGATAGTCTTTCTAGTTTATGCCACATTCTCATGTGATAAAACGGTCATAACACAACTGATTTTCCTCTTGATGTGTCGTCTGTTTAATTGCATGTAGTAATGTCCATTAAGCGCAGTACTCTTAACTCCTAAGGTTGGTCTGGAAGACTCAGAAGGATTTCCTTTGACCAAGTTACTTTCTCCCTGCGGATCTCAGTTATGCTCAAAGTAGGATTCCTGGGCGCCTCCAGGACTGGGCAAGGGGATGTGTACTGAGCAGCATGAGTGAGAAGCCTTTTGTTTTCTCTTTATGATTGTTTTTCTAGTCTAATGCTGTGTCTGACATAGACAGGCCCTTAACAAATTCTTAAAAAACGTTTTCAGAAGAAATTAGATGCAGATCTTTTTTCTTTGCCAGTCAAACCCAAAACTGTCTGCAGATTTACCTGTTTTATAAATTGGATTTCTATAGAAAATCATATCTTGAAAAAGATGGTTACCTTATGAAAAAGTGGATAGCACTAGTATTGGTAGATTACATATAAATTGCTTTCCAGCCTGTATGATTTATAGAAATGCACATTAGAAATATGGAATGAAAATATACATTTATTACTAAAAGAATGGTAAAGTAATAAAGCTCATATAAACCTACAGAAAAGAAATAGAAGAAAGCTGACAGTGAATTTCAGAGGAGAGAAATCAGGTCTATAGGATCAGACAGAAAGAGGGGTCACAATGCAGGCAGGCTGGAGCTCTGACCTGCAGGGCTCATCAGTCAGTAGAATATAAAAAAGCAGAGTGACTCAGCTAAGGGAAAACATGAGATGACTTTCTGGTGACTTTCTGCCCTCCATAAGCAGAGGAACTCAAGGATCATGCAGCAGAAGCAGAGAAAGGCAAATGAGAGGAGGAGGAGGAGGCCAAAGAGCTCCGGGGCTTAGTTCAACCTTGTTCCCCTCAGCTGTGTGCCTGCAGCCAGCCCCACCTGTCATGCTCCCTCCTCTCCTGCTTGCCGGTGTCAGCCCAGGTGGGTTTCCCCTTGCCTTGAGTCTGCACTGGTTCCTTTTGTGCTTCCCTCTTCTCAGGTAGCCTGTCTCCTCAGTCAACCTATGGGCCATTCTTCCTAGCGGTTTTAATCCCTGTGGGACACACCCCTGAAGTGTTGTAGTTAAAAAATAAACAACTCAGAAAGCAGATGGATAAGAGACAGACAGAAGACCTGAAAGTTGAGTGGCTAAGACACTTTTGGGAAAGAGGCAGGGTGGATAAACCCATAGCGAGTCAGAAAGGCTCAGGATTTAGAAGCCCCAGCTACTTCTGAAGGCACCATGTAAGTGAAGATGGAAGCAGGATTGGTTAACAATATGAAGAAGGATCCTGGGCCCTTTTCCCTCTGCTAACATGGACCCCTTTAGAAGATAACTTTTTAAGATTACTTATCATCCCAGGAATCCTACAGATACTGATATTTTAACTAAACAGCAAGGGTGAGCTCTACCAGTAGATAATTCCCTGGATCCACAGAAGCTGAAATTGGCTTTTAATATTATATACTTAGATATGAATGTATCAGTGGATGGTTGGAAGCATCTGAGGTCTGAGGGTATCTACTGGGGTAGGAGGAGAGTAAGATCAAGACAGAGAGACAGAGTCAGAGATAAACATAAACATGCAAAAGACTCAGGAAGCAATCTAAGGAAATTTTTAAAATTTATTAAAATCCTAAAAGATATCTAAGAAAATATTACCTCCATAGAAAATAAGAAAGTACACTTGAAATTAGAATTTTAATATCAAAAGTAATTTTTTTTTGTGGTACTAGGGATTAAACTCACAACCTTGTGCTTGCCAGGCAGTTGCTTATGCCACTGAGCTAAATCCCCAGCCCAAAAGTAGAAAATTAATGGAAAATTTGATAAGCAAGTCTAGGAGAATTCTATAAAAATAAATTTTAAAAACCCAAAATGATTAATCTAGGTGGTGCAGCATCTAACTTACAGAAATTCCAGGGAAGATGAGGGGAAAAATTGATTCAAGAAATAATAAAAACATTGAGAGAGAATAAAACATCATTTATAAAGTGCTAAGAATAGGAATGATGTGATATTTTCAACAATGCTGAAAACTAGAAGATAATAAAGTTAGAACCTAAATTTTTTTTAAATCTACCAAACCATAGCAGAAGTTCTGCCCCCACCCCAGCCAATATACTTTTGTTAGTTGCCCAGGTAATAATAGTTCCTATTCTAGATCCAGTTGCTTCTCTTAAAAATATCTGGTCACTGTGATGCATAGCTGGTCACTATGATGCACATAGTACAAACTAACCCCTTATTGACAAGCCAGTCTGCCTCTGAACTTCCTGCTTGCTTATCCAATATAAGCGCTAGACATTGGGGCCTGGTATTTTGGAACTGATCCCAATCAGTGTCCATCAACATAAATAAATCTGCCTCCAAATTGTGGGTTTTGTTTTGGTGTTTTTGCTTGCCATTGCAAAACTACCAGTGAAGTTTGGGAGAGGAATGAAGATACTTTCAGTCACAAAAAAGAGGTTTAGAGACATCTGGCTTGTATGATTCTTCTTAAGAGGTTACCAGAGATTAAACTCCACCAAAGGGTAGGAGTAAATCAAGAAAGACAAAGGCATGAACTTCCAGTGTTGTTGATTCTGACAGATGAGAGAGCTGACAGGATGCCTAGCACGACAGGAAAGGGAGGTTAGGATTAAAAGGCAACAAACTGTTCAGACTGGAATGGGTCAGAAAGCTCCACTGCTGAATGGCTGTCTCCTAAGAAGGAATGGGATTAATGGATGACCCACAGGATTTGACCATAATGAAAGGAATTTTCAGTTGTTTGGAGAATTTAGGGATCATGTATAAGTAATCAGGAAACTAAACAATGTAAAAATTCCAAGGCATTTGTTATGTTCTGAAAAATCAGTAAGTTAGAAAATATGTTCTGAATAATAAGAGCTTTTCTTTGTAAACTATTCACATAGTGATGTTATAAACATTGAGTTACTTAAAATTGTTATATAATTATATTAGAATGATGAGTAGAGGAAAGGTGAGAGATACAGATATAGAGATATAACAAACAGGATAGAACAAAAATTCTCTACCCATAGGAGGAAGTTCGTAATGTGAAACAGAAAATTAAAAAGTAGTTGTACAGCCATGTGACATAAAAAAGCAAAGGTAAATACAAAAAGAATTTGAGAAGTTGAATATGATTGATTTGGGAAATGGTACTTGAAAATGAGGCAGAGAACTCTTTTCCTTTTCAAATTGTTAGTCTTGACCTTAAAATGTATTACATGCATACATTCTTAGATTTTAAGTCAAGTTTTAAAAATGAGCATTGGAATAAACTTGAGAATACAGATATCTCTTTGATATGGGGACTTTTTCTCTTTGGATTTATACCCAGAAATGGGATATGTATTAACTTTCTATTGCTATAACGAGATACCTGAGAAAACTTAGGGAACAAAAGGAAGTTATTTTGACTTATAGTTTCAGAGGTTCAGTCCATGGTTGACCAGTTCCATCACTCTGGGCCTGAGGTAAGAGAGGCTATCATGGTGGTGGGTGCCCATAGAGGAAGAAACTGTTTACCTACATGGCAACTAGAAAGGCAAGAGAAGAGGAAGAAGGGGAGAAACAGAGGAAGGGCTAAGGACAAGATGTAGTCTCCAATTTCATGCTCCTATGGTCCACCCCTTCAACTAGATCCTGCCTGATGAGTTTTCATCACTTCCTAAAAGTGCCATCAAGTTATAAGCCCACCAATGGATGACTCCACTGATAGCATTAGAACATTAGAGTCCTCATGATCCCATCATTCCCAAAGCCTCCGTCTCTGAACACTGCTGTGTTCAGAGGGACTAACACATAGCCCTTGGGAGACATTTTTGATCCAAGCAATAGCAGAATGGCTGGGCCATATGATAGTTCTAGTTTTAGTTTTTTGAAGAACTTCTGTAGTGTTCCCTCTAACAGATATACTAATTTACAGTCACAGCACAAATATGTGCAATTAAAATCATCATCATCATCCAGCACTGATGATCAACTTTTGCTTCCCATCACTTTAGTAAGAGTTTACTATCAAGGCTCGATTAAGACTTTGGTCACCTTGATTACTGAGATTATAATAAACCTAAATTTTTAAATAAGAAAGCTAAATTGTAAATCTAAACATTACATGTACCCTGAAGTTAAAAATAG